ATACGATTGACCGATCAATACAGTCTAATGTCGATAGGTTTATATAAGATTGGCATTTCAGTGAAGATAACACAACCAGCTGCCCATATCAATGACTAAACACCACTTGATCACACCTACATATATAAGCACTTAAGATTTCATAATCTCATTCGTAATAACACTTTGCCAGCATTGAAGTATTGCGGAAGCACAGGAACATTGATGACGAACGAATGCGTTTGCAGCAAATAAGCACATTTAAGCAGTCCCTTATTGAGGAATATCGACACCACATTATGCGAATCATTTAGACGTTCATGACCGTTGCAGTTTTGATTGCTTCAGATTTAAGGAAATCGGTTGGGCTGCTTGTTTCGCTAAACTTTGAAAAATCCTAGCTCTCATAATCAAGTGACATTTTATGGCTCCTTTAATTCATCATAAAATTGCTTCCTAATCTGGCGCATTACACACAAATTGTTTCCGAAATATTCGTTTCATTCAAGATCATTTTGCACACTCGAAAAGATTCATTTCGTTAAGAAATAGATTTTAAAACATAAGCGTCATAACGGAGCGCAAAAATTAACGATTGCTTATGAAAGGATCTAATTGGTGAGACGTATAATCCATAATTGATTTTATTGTTGAAAATATGTCGGCGATAATAATGTGAATTACAATCATCATTTATCATTTATGCGTTTTCATTTACGATCGAATTCAATGAAGCATAGGATGTTCACTGGTCAACGTCGAAGAGGGAATGACCACGTTCATAAACAAGTTTGTTTGGGACATTTGGGATTGAATATAAAAGGACCTGTCCAATGAACTGTGGCAGCACTGTACGTTCAGCGGTCACGAAAAAACAATTTGCGGTTTGTGCAGTCGAAGGTGCTCTAATGGATTTGGATAATCGCATCAAGGCGTATCGTCTTGTGGCCTATTCTGCCGTAACCTTCTCGATTGCTTCAGTTTTGTCGAGTTGTGTTACGCTTCCAATTATATACAACTATGTGCATCATGTCCGTCATCAAATGCGCAGTGAAATCACCTTTTGCAAGGTTATTTGCAGATTATTCGCTTTATTTCCGGCATTGAACAAGTCAAGTATTCTCAGCGAGTCTGCGAACGGTTGAGCATTTTTGTCGCAATTCTTTCTTATGTCGTTTCACCGCGCTTTATCATTTCTGCACAATTTTCAGGGATCTGCAAAGGACATCTGGGCTGAATTACATGAACTAAGGAGTATTCAAACACAAAATCGCACGTCACGTCAAGCTGGCTATGGAGATGCAGGCATCATCAGCGAGAGCGGATCATCGCAAGGTGCATCATGCGATGAATGCTGTGTACCAGGCTCACCAGGACCGGCTGGACCCCGCGGTAGGCCTGGGAAACCCGGCAAACCAGGCACACCAGGACTAAATGGAAACCCCGGAAGACCTCGAAATCAGCCGTGTGAAGCAGTGACACCTCCGCCATGCAAACCATGTCCACGAGGGCCGCAAGGTCTTCCCGGGCCGCCTGGACCACCTGGAGATCCTGGATCACAAGGTCCACCCGGTCTGAAGGGACTGCCTGCAGCTCCTGGAGAACCGGGGCCAAAAGGAGCACCGGGACCACCTGGAAAACCTGGAGCTCGTGGACCTGTAGGAAAGATAGGCATACCGGCACCTAATGAACCGCTCATTCCAGGCGAACCGGGACCGATTGGTCAGTTTTCCCAAATTCTTTGATACTTTATTTTCGTAGAATACTTCACGACTGGGCATTCTATTGAAACGAAATCTGCGATATACGAAGGGCCATTTGAAAAAAAGATCAACTCAACCTTACAACGCATCACCTGATATCATCGCTATCAATTTGTCAAAAACTTAGTCAGGATTCCTTCCTATCCTATATCATCTTGAACTAAACAGTAGCGTCACGCACACAATAAACACTTTCTTGTAGGTGATTCCGGTTCTCCAGGGCCACCTGGACGTCCTGGTAAGCGGGGTGTGAATGGCACGCCTGGACCAGCCGGACGGAAAGGACCACCTGGGCCCGATGGTGAACCCGGAAAAAATGGTAAGACCGGTCAGCCAGGCCCAGGTGGCCCACCTGGAGCGCAAGGTGAAAGGGGTATTTGTCCGAAATACTGTGCTATCGATGGCGGAGTGTTCTTTGAGGATGGAACACGACGTTAAATTATTGGAGCTTATTTCATGTCTTACTGCTGTACTCCTAACTCACAAATACTTGTTTCTTCATAATAAACATTCGGTGCAGATTCCTCGAAAACGATTGATACGGGTAACGATTATCTCACCACTACCAACCTATGGTCAATAATTGATCAATTCCAAGAATAAATCACGCTAGTCGAATCAATTTTATTAGAGAATAGTTGAAATTGGTCACAATGAATAAGTTCTTTGCAAAGACTAATTCGAAATTCATTGATCACTCTGAACAGTGGATTGCTTCACATTTGCACTGATAGTTCGTATCTGATGTTTCTTGTCGTTGCTGTTCGACTTGTCCTCAATCGGTTCGATCATTCTCACACAGAATATCACTTTATAACGAATGTCAAAGAACGCACATCCATGGAAGGCCATATTCAGAAATACACCCGTATACTCGCAAATTGCGAATACTTCATAAGCTGAAACATATAACACAGTTATTGTTAGTCGAATTGCTTGTTAGCAATATTTTGCATCCTATTCATGTGCCAATGAAATGTGTCACTAATGAGTTACGGTTTTATTCATCATCAAATTTTCTCTTGATCATTCATGCAAAGTAAACGGTAACAAGAACCCAATAATGTCGAACGCTTACCCACAGTGACACATGCTCTCCAATAAAGCAAGAATGCGCCGATCAGAATCGGAGCACTGATCAAATAAGCACCACATGTCAACAATTTCAGATAGTACGAAAGGCGACCCTAAAATTAGTTGGGATTGCTAGTGAAATCACTCTGAAACCGGTTTCGTCAACTGACGTATTCTGTCGAAAAGTGAGCGTTTTCTATTTGTATTCATGTGCGATTCAGTCGACAATAGACATATTCGTGAAAAGGAACGCACTTCTTTTCGGTGAATCGAACNTCATTAAAATTTGCTAGTTCAACAGTTGCATGATTTGAATTTCAGATTAACATTGCAATGCATTTTGTTGCGAAAAATTAATGAAATGATCGCATAAATATTTGAATCTGTACAACAAATCAACGCAAAAATGCCGAAACATTCTCGTCACTCAGAATGAGAATTTCACCATCGAAACAGAACTCAATCTTAACTATACGTGAGGAACTCTTCTTAACCCTTTCAAACAAGATGGCGACGCATCAAATCAAATTAATCAATTTTAATACACGATTTCTCTCCGGATGACCCAAAAACTCAGCGTATTGCGTCGGAGTGGATTCATCAATTATCTTAATTTCGTTGCAATGAAATTCAACAGGAATGAATCGTGACATAATGAACATACGTAAGGATTTAGGTAGTATAGTGATTGCCTGTGACACACAATATTGCATATAAAAAATCCAATTCCACAAAATCCGAATACGTAAAACAATATGACATGCACCTCTGAAATAATACAATATTCTTCGTTGAACAGCAACTGAGCAATCAACCACACTAAGGCAAACAGGTCACTAGTTCCACAATGAGCAGAATATGTGACCAGCTTCGATATTGTAATGAGGGCGAATTAACAAANAGGTCACTAGTTCCACAATGAGCAGAATATGTGACCAGCTTCGATATTGTAATGAGGGCGAATTAACAAAGGATTCCTTTCTCAACTAGACATTAAGTTGTTAAGTTCCATTCCAGTCTCACAGCCATATGAAATCTAAAAAATCTGTTCTGACTAGTGATTTTCTTATCCAACACTTTCTCCTATATTCTATTCTATTTTGCCATTCACTTGTTCTGTTTTGTTCTATTCTTCGAGTCGTTTTTCTGGACGTATTCTGTTCTATTCCTTGGAATAGAACAGGAATAGAACAGTTTGACTGGAATAGAAACATCACTAGTTCTGACTAACGTACGTATGTTTTCACGTTCACCAATTATCGAGAGAGCTGCCAGGAAAACGAGTTCCGCGAGACCAACGTAAAGGTAACAATATCTGGCCAGTTCATAGAACCATTTGTGTTCGTAGTTGACGTTCATTAAGCGACGATAGCGTTTAACTGGAATGCAAACTTCAATTTATTCGAATGAAAACTAACCATTCAAATAGCAGTCGAGATTGATGGACCTTAGGTATTAATCATCCAACTTATCAATGCCATGAATAAGAGTCGAAAGAAAGTGATAGAAGTTTGAAACGATCACAAACAATTTCGACTTCTTGATTGAGTACAAACGATTTTGATGTACAGAAATGAACAGAATTTTTGGAAAACTCACATCCCGTAGACAGTTCAATTAACCGAATTNCGCTCTATTGGGAGGTTGATTATGCGGGATAATGATGGCAATCGTGCCCTCTGAAAGTGAATTATGGTTCACTAGATGTGATGAAGGAATTAAATGAATGATGCATCGAGAATGCAATACCACTCTGGCAGTCAAGATGGACACTTTGCTTGGTAAAAAAAAGGATTAACGATATCCCGGAGACAATAATCTGTGTGGAAAATAAAATTGATTGTGTAATCGACTGAGTACAGACTGGAAAATAGAGCAGAAAGTGAAACTGTCGTAGGTCAAATTGAGAACACTCGTTCTCATAACAACAAACAAACCCCGCATTGCCAATTATAGTTGCTGATTTGATCGTTATGAAAAATTAGTGCTATACTAATCGCCATAATTGCACCAAACATTGGCGGTATGAAACCGAATAAGAAAATTTTGATTGGCGATAATCGGAATAATTCACACACCTGAAAAATGTTTTAGTCAACTTAAATTCCTAATGTATTCGTTGAAAGATTCTCCTGATAGACTGGTGTTTAACTGTTGAATAAGGCAAAAATTAATCCCTAAGCCAAAATCTCATAAATTCAAGACCAAAGTATCAACTAGGATGATTTGAAAAATGATAAGCATGATTTGAAAAAAAAAAAGATAAGCATGGTGGAATAATCTGTTGGTTATATCATGAACATACACGTTTCCCATCCTTTACATAAGTTGATGCTGCGTCGTATTTATTAGCAGCTAGCACATTTCCATCACCAATATTACCATTCTCCATTTATTTTCTGGAAAATTTTGGCAATTACAGTCCAGTTCAACAGCTGTATGTAGACCAACACTTGTGAACACATCGGAGATTTTTTGAATCATAAAAACGAGTCGTATTTCGGCATTAATTTCTATCTTTTAAGTATTGTTGTGGACACTCGAATTCTTCTTATTGTATGGCTTTAGGTTGCTGAATTGATCGTATCATAACTGATCGCAACGAATAATCAATACATTGATATGATAGAATTGATAGGATCGAAAATGCCGACAACGATTAAGAGACCGCAAAAATGGAACGTAT